GTGGGCGTGGGCGTGGGCGTGGGCGTGGGCGTGGGCGTGGGTGTGGGCGTGGGTGTGGGCGTGCGCGTGCGCGCGCGTGCGTGTGCGCGCGCGCGTGTGCGTGTGTGCGCGCGCGTGTGTGTACGAAATGATACATCATTAAGTAACGAAATGTATGTCACTCTTTCTCGCGTTACTATGTTTACGTAGGAAAGAGGAAGCATTGTCAAGCTGCGTCGGATATCTGTGATTTTTTATAAAAAAACTCTATTTGGCAGCCCTGGAAACGAAAAAGTGGATAAATATTGTTCCTATATGTATTAAATTACTTCCTCTAACATGTTGTGTAGTCACAATTGACGTTTTGTGGTCCCTTGATACTGAACAATCGATTGATGGCAAAACTGTATTTCCTTTCGCCCTGGTCTGGCCGGCCGACTTGTGGTGAAAGGGTAATGTTCTTGCCGTAATAACTCAAAGAGTTCGAGTTCAAATCTCGTCCCGAGGATAAAGCTTTTGATGAGTAGAAATACTTTCGCAGGTTCATGTAATAATATAATATTGCGTAGCCGTTACAAATAATTCGAGAAAGTGTTTGCTATTGTAGCACTCGCAATCATTAGTCAATATTCGAAACAATATTTGTGCTTTTGTTGATTGAAAATATATTTGTTTAATGACACTTGAAATACCTCATATTTTTATCACTCTACCGTTGTTATTTAAATTATCAGTTTCGCGCTCTTTACAGATCCATTTAGATCTATAAAGTCCCTGCTTACGTTTGGAACACGAAGGAAAGGCACTTACAGGATAATGTTCGGTGACTATCTCGTGCACGCCACATCGCGTACATAAAGATAACTTCCCGAGTGCCATTAATCTTTGTCGCAAACATTTTTCCATAACTAATGGATGAGTGGTTTTGGTGACTCCAATGATCGGCCGATATTGCGTAACAACTCCTTTCTTTAAAAGCCGAAGCTCGGAATGCAGAGCACCAGTCAACTAAGACGAACTCTTTCTCTCACTATGAAGGCAGCATTGTTGGTAAGTAAACAATTATGGTCGTTGTTGTTTTTACAAAGCATGAACATATTTGATCTACTCCACAAAATACAATATAAATGTAAAAAAAATTAAATTTTTGTATACATTATGTGACAAATTTTATTAAGTTGCATTATATAAATTTTCGGAAACACTATTTTGTTTTAAAAAACAAAAACAATTTAGATAATATATGCCCATATTAAAAGAACTTACCGTGAACTTTAAAAAGTGTTTCAACTACATAATCTGAAGTCAAGCATTACGAAACTGAAAAGAGTTATCAGAACATATGTATTCTAATCCATGGCCTCCTATTAAAATAGTCACCATCAACATTCTGTCACATTGCACAGAATGAATAGCCAAATTTAAACAAAACTTCTGGTATATCGCACATAGTAGATAAATATTGTTCATTATTCGTATTCGTACGGTATTAGTACCGGCTAAACGGCCTATCTGTGAAACGTAATCGGCTTAACGGCATACGACATTTCTATATTTTCATCGTCTTTTGATAAAAATGCTTATATTTTAAACTGGCGTAGTCGCTCAGGGCATCAAGCGATGTCGCTGCTGTGCCTGTCCCGGAGGTCTTGTGGTTCGACCCCCTACGACGCGTCGCGATGGCAGGGTTTTCGTCGCTAGCTTGTCAGTTAGGTCGAATTCAGCCGCACTGTCTGACGGAGAATTCTAGCGACCGGCTACTCTGATCGGTAGTTTTCTGTGAGGTCTTCAATCAATACTAGACTTGGCTGAAGCAGTCCCCGAACAAACCAACCACGGACCGCGCACTTGCGAAATTGCTAAGGATTGTGAGTCGTATCTACGATCATGAAATTTTGTGAGGAACGAAAAGTGAAAAAAGTAGGGTTAAATAAATATTAATGATAATGAATAGAACAGAAGTACTATAACTCAATAAATGACAAGGGTATGTATACCAAGTATTAAAATAATTTGTCGCACAACACTAATGATTGGAATGAATACCAAACTTCAAAATTAATATACATTTTTTATGATTTTCTTTTTTTCACTCTTATCAGGTTTTCATTCTCCTGGTGTCGGTGGCCGTGCCCTCTCTGGGTAGTCCCCGCGCCTGGAACAATCGCGACGACATGGATTCTCCTACCCAGCGCCCTTTGGGGCCCGGAAATGGAAGAGCTGGAGGAATTTTTATGCCTAAATCCACTACCTCCGCGCCTCCGATTGAAACACAATGAACAATTGAAAGAAAATGTACTGTCTGTAATGTACTGAAATTCAGAGGTGATGCAGTGCTTTAATAAACATGGTTCTATACTTCATTGAGTCTTGTTCTATTTTCCCTGTCTGGTCAAGTTAAAAAAAATATATTTATTCCTTCATTATTGTTATGGCAAGTTTTTATTCGTTGCACTCGTGAGAACAGGAAATACAAATCTATTCTATCCCAAACACATTTCAATTCAGAAAACTCATTTTTTGTTGAGAAAATTCACAATGTACGAAATGTTACATTTTTCAGAAGTTGTCATAGATCTGCGTAAATAAGTAAGTTTGCTTTGCATGCTACAGTACGTGCTATAGAGAAACATACGTAATACTGCGGCAGAAACGGCGATCTTTCTGCAGAAAGAATTGTTTGGTGTTTTACCCGCTTCCGAAAAAGTGGATAAATCTTTTTTCCCATATGTAGTAAATTACTTCCTCTTAAACATTGTGCAGTTAGAGGCCATGTTTTCTGCGCCCTTGAAACCGAAAAATTGGTAAACGGCATAACACGTATCCGTCTGCTCGTCCATCTGGCAGTAAACAATACTAGCGGTAAAACCATCATTAGCGTCAAAATCACCATTCTCGCAAAAATAATATGTCTTATGCGTTACTTAGTGTTCTGATTTTAAATATAGAACCACAAAATGTTAAGTTTGTTTGAGATGGCATGGAAACAAAAGTGTTATTTAGGGAATAAATATCCGAGAATAGATTTATACCTCCAGTTATTAAGCAAGTGCATATTAACTTCCTCAACTTATATAAACATGACGATTCTTATGGGACGGAATCCAGCTGTATTATCTATTCTCCTGAGTGTAACAAATAAACCGTGCTTTGCCATCAACAATGGAGGGAAGTCACTGGAAGTGCAGTTGAAGTGTATCGAAGATATTTTAATGCAATATATTTCAACATTATTACAAGAATCAAACCAAAATTGTATCTTCTTTCAGATGCTTTTGTTATTTCAAAGAATTATATGGGTTATTGCCAAAATGGTATCTTATTTCAAATAAATTAGAATACTATGTCAGCGATACCTAGCGCGACTATTAAGTACCTGTTGAGAACTAGTGGTGCTAAAACAGAACGTACTTTCTCCCTCATATTTTCACGCAAAATTACGCGAAAAGTACTAAAATTTTCGAAAAATTGTTCACGACCTTATTTCAAAATTATCTTAAAGAACAAATTTCATTCAAGGAAAACTATCTTTATTCATAATTGTAGTTGTTCGAAACTTCAGAAAAAATTTCGACCTCTTGCAAATTTCGAAAAATTGTGTTTATAACGAATATGAGATCTGCACCATTTTCTCGCACTATTCAACATTTAATAAAAAAACTATGGAGCCTTTTTTTAACTTCGCAAAATGTGGCAGGGGTTTCATGTAAAGTACCCCCGAAAATTAAAATATCACTTTTAAATTCAAGAGGCCGCGATATCAGCCAGGTCGATGGAGTAATATCAATTTTGGAGTAAATCGGTCGAACGGTTTAGGCGGTAGGTTTGTTCACAGACGGACGTACAGACAGACGTTTTGCATTCATTCGATTTTCCGGTATCAAGGACCTGCAAAATATGGATTCTGGCTACACTACGTGTTACAGGATTTTTCTCAAATTTAGCAATTTATCCACATTTTTCGTAATCAGGGACTTGTATTAAGAGTTCATCTGCCGAAAATACGCCGGGTTTTTTTTTCGCGCAGCATTACATAACTTTCTACTCCGTAGCGAAACCGTAAGAAATGAAAAGTCTTCTAAGAATGGTCTTTCCCAAGAAAATGATTACTCACCGCATCTTGCAAAATATACACATGTTGTTTTCTGAGGATTGATCGCAGAGTGATGGCTTTTCCACACATCTCTCGGTCTATAGAAGACAATAGCGCGAGTGCTTGTCTCAAAAGAACCGGAAGTTGGGTTATGTCGAAGATCGCATTTGCCAGATGGCGAACTGCGTCGCGTGTTTGTCGTCTTATCACGCAACGTGAGAACAGTTTCTGCGACAAGAGGCCGAGTACTTAAGGGCGCACACTCCAGAGTCATCGCGCACGGTTCTTGTCGCAGCCATGAAGACTATTTTATTGGTGAGTATGTCTGTGTAGTGCTGAACCATAACATTCTGTGTTAAACGTTTTTGTTGATAAAGTGGTAACGTATTTTGTTTTTCTTCGTCTGGACAACTGTTTTAAAGACAGTGTTTTGTAAAGTGATTCTTGCAAACACTCCAGAGTCATGGAGAACAAAGGACTAATATTCCTTATTTTGTTATTGTTTTTTTAATGATTTCGTCAGTATTATTAAAATACGTATTGTAATATTCTTTCTTCCAATAACTTAGCGTATTATAAATTATAACTCTCAAAAAGAGTGTTTTCGTTTGCTGTGTCCATGTATGAATCATTGTCTATTGTGATACTCGTATTTCGAATTGTGACTATCATAATTTAAAATTGCATTGATATTAGCAGCCCTTATGTTTCACGCCTTCCGTAAACTGGTGGTATATGTTTTGGGATTTCTACAGCGAAAAAGTATTTTTATGTGCTCTGTTCTTTATATGTTCCTCTTTCTGTTAGTCTGTCAGCTGTCCGTCCGTCCGTCCGTCCGTCCGTCCCTCTATCCGTCTGCAAACAACACTAGCGCCTAAAATATCATAGGATTTTTTTCTCAAACGTTTATTCACCGGTCGATCTGGCCCGACTCAAAGCTCATGAGACAGTTTAAAGATTTTCTCAAGAGTGTTTCAAATTTTTACATTAAATTTCTTGTGAGAAAAGAATGGAATACATTTGTAAAGATGGCATATGCCTGATTTTGACAGTTATCCTTGAAATTTCGAAAATCGCATAAGTTCACTTTTCCCGGGGTGTTTCTATCACTATTATATTGAAGATAGATATTTTTTCCTGAGAGAAATGTTCTAAAGAAGATGTTGAAATAAGATTACGTACAATGTTTCAAAGATGTGAGTAGTTGTCGCGAAATTTTGTGTGAAATATGTAAAAAATATTTTGAAAAATAGTTTCTCGAAAGCGGATCAATTTTGTATTTAAATTTTCTTCCTTAAGAACGGTAAAAGTCGCAAGTAGTCTCATTTTTGGGCAACTCCCTATATTGTAGAAAATAATAAAAATAATAAAATTGCAACCGCTGTTCGAGATTTTTCCTTAAATAAAATGTTTTTTGAAAAATCAGCTCTTAAAAAAATTACAATACATTTTTTAACAAAAAAAGAAGCATAATTCTGTTTGATACTAATGGCATGTAAAGAATGGATTATTTTTTTCTCAAACGGCTCCAAATTTCTTCTATATTTTTTTTCCCGCAAATATAGAAAGTACACTTGCAAATGGCGCTGATTTCATCTTTAAAAAAAGAAATTCGTCGAAACATAATATTAAATCAAACAAAATAAAAATGATATATATTAAAATCTATGAAACTAGAATATTTTCAGACTATTATTTTACTTTCAATTGAAACCATTATTTTACCACGTGGCAGAAACTTCCCACTAAAAATGAGTGGAAAACCGTTTTGAAAAGGTAGCTGCATGATTTTATAGCGTTTTGAAATAAAATTAAAACTAGCTGACCCATTTTTACCTGATGCTTTAACACAATGTAATATTGTGAGTCAATGTTTCGTTAAACGTCTTGCGGGGTTCGCGTCTTGAAATTTCCACTTAATTGCGAAGTGGAAGAAGGCTCTGGCGTTCGGAGTCTTCAACTCATTTGCAGTACGTGCGGTAGCGAGACGCAGTATGCTGAGTTACTACTGTTCGCTTGATTCCACGACAGCTGGTCTTTCGGGTGATTTCGTTTGTGGTGTGTGGCGGACTCAATCCACGGGCCCACACACCTACACCCACTCAGCTTATTGGAATGGCTATCCTTGTGGAAAACGCTTAAAGGAGGGACAAGGAATAGTGGGCCGCTATAAATGCGATAAAATGACAGAGCGTCTTTTTGATAAATTCTAATTAATAATAATACGTTGGTCTGCGCTTATGTTTCGACAAATTTCTTTCTTTGAAGAAAATTGGAGCCGTTTGAGAACAGAAAAAATTGTCATGCTACGCTACTGGGAGGTGCTACGTTCAATCTGCGACAGTCATTTGACGGTGGCATGGCAGGGATCGCCCTTCCACATAGACTGTGAAATCCACTACGGAAAATGAGTTAATATGTCCCTGCCAGGATTACATTACATGTTAGTACTTAATTTATGACTGCACCCTTCAAATTGCTAAAATCAAGGAATGAAAACAAAGGAATTTGTAGAAAAAAATTCCAAGAATAATTTTTAAATAATATTCAAGCAGTTCTGAAAGGAAACACCGTCTTTGTTTTGGCCAATACACATCCTGCCAACGGTGTCGTATTTCTTACACCAGTAACCGGATCTGGCTCGTAGGCTAACACTGCCTGAAAGAGAATTCTAGAAGCTGGCTGCTCTGAAAAGGATTTCCCCAATCAGTTCCAGATGAGCGCCGGAGAACCATTTCTGACGTAGAGGTATTCGGCTTGCTGCCACCGCTGGGGTCATAGTTCGTATCCAGATAAAAATCGTGATTTGGTTTTAAGGTTAGACGTGGGCGATACACGGAGTAATGAAGTCGTAGGCTTCCGCGGCCAGAGTCGAAACGTCGGCAACACAGCCTTGTCATGGTCACCCGGTCAGCCAAGATCTCAACATAGAGTAATGGTTAAACCATTTGCCTTCCACCGCCGGAATAATAGTTCAATTTCCGGTCGATTCAAGTGAAATTTGGGATTAACAAAGAGGATTTGAAGATGGTTTTCTCTGGGTTCTCTCGTTTTCCACACGTCTCATTCCACCATTTTTCCATTACCGATCATATCATGTATTCATCACCTATCCATCGAGTATTTTCTCCATATCAAGTATATCTATCAGACTTTGGCACTAGTATAAAAATGTGAATGTTCTGT